AGAGAGAGAGAGAGAGAGAGAGAGAGAGAGAGAGAGAGAGAGAGAGAGAGAGAGAGAGAGAGAGAGAGAGAGAGAGAGAGAGAGAGAGAGAGCTGGGGCGAAGGTAGAGGAAGAGATGCAACCGCACCGCACGCACGCACGCACGCACACCCGCGTAGTCGTCTGTCACCGTAGGCTCCTTGCACCGCATACGCGCTCAAGCATCCAGACTCCTCGCTAAACTCTTGCTAAGTGCACGCGCGCACCGATCAACGCGCCGAGCATTACATAAAGCAACGCGAAGCTCTTGCTGCGGCTCGGCCACTGCGCTCGCTCTCTAAAAGCCAGCTGCTAGACCCTTTCAAAACACATATTTACATTAGAGAATGGCTGGGTTGAACAAATGTTGCCCGTAGCCAGGCACTGGTCACTCATGCGTGAAACATTACATCATTTAATGCAATCAATGATAATGCTGCACCCCTGAGCTGTATTAAGTGGCAGCGGGAAGAGCTAATGTGTTGATACAGAGTATTGGTGATGAGTAGAGGCGAAGGCAGCGGCGACATGTGCTGGGCTGCCCATGAATCAGCAAACGCGCGCGCGAATACGCACGCACGCACGCACGCACGCGAACACGCGCGCATCCAAACACGCGTGCATCCAAACATGCGAATTCTATTGAACGCTCCTGCACGCGTTCTGGTCAACAATACGCACGTGAGATACCACACCTATGTCTATAGTACATATATACACTGCAGCACACAGTGACACCAAGATTCACTCACTCACGCACGCACGCACGCAAGTAACGCACGAACACGCGCGCACACACACGTAGACACACGAACACACGCACGCACGCGTGGACGCATGAACGCACAGACACGTGTGCACGCGCGCGTGTGCATGCACGCACCAACGGACACCCACCCATGCAAGCGTGCAACACGCATACATGAACACGCGATCAGCGTATGAGCCAACTGCCGACTATACACTTCAGTTCATACACCAACACATTTCTGTGAGAATGTAAGCAATAGATGCGATAGAAATAACATGCTCACCGGCCATGAAAGATTCATACGTTTAATTATTGCACGGCGGCGCGCACCATGAAAGCGCCGTATTCATGTTATGCGCTGCATTTCCACGCGAACCTATTATGCGAAGCGTCGGGCACTTTGCACGCATGCAAATATGTGCATGTACGTCTAGTAGATATATATATAGATACAGTTCCGCGCGTGTGCGCATGCGCGCGTACGCACGTGCGTACGGGCGTGTTCGTGTGCACGCCTTCCCTGATGCTGCGCCTCACCTGAGCTGGCCGCACCTCGTGTTGAGCCTTACCTGAGCTGGCCTTACTTCGTGTTGAGCTTCACCTGAGCTGGCCTCTTCTCGTGTTGAGCTTCACCTGAGCTGGCCTCTCCTCGTGTTGAGCTTCACCTGAGCTGGCCTCTCCTCGTGTTGAGCTTCACCTGAGCTGGCCTCACCTCGTGTTGAGCTTCACCTGAGCTGGCCTCACCTCGTGTTGAGCTTCACCTGAGCTGGCCTCACCTCGTGTTGAGCCTTACCTGAGCTGGCCTCACCTCGTGTTGAGCCTTACCTGAGCTGGCCTCACCTCGTGTTGAGCCTTACCTGAGCTGGCCTCACCTCGTGTTGAGCTTCACCTGAGCTGGCCTCACCTCGTGTTGAGCTTCACCTGCGCTGGCCTCACCTCGTGTTGAGCTTCACCTAAGCTGGCCTCACTTCGTGTGGAGCGTCTCCTCTATGCGGGAAGCCCTTCCCATGTGGCTTTAGGTAGTCTCTAAGCTCATGACTTTAACAGGCCGATAATTTATCAACGCCAGTCGTTGGTGGGATCATCTATGATGGTGTGAAATGCCATCTCAGTGAAAATGTAGACACTCTCCGAAGCAAATCTCTGATCCGATGTAATTCACTGTGAAAATGTAAATTCTTTACGTGAATTAAATTCTATTTAGAATGAATAGTTGAATTATAATAAAAAACACCTGAATGAATGAAAGGGATGCGATGAGTATTCGCTGAGCATATCTTAGACGTGTGTGTGATGTTTCTACGGCGTCAATATATAGTTGACTAAAGTGCTCCTGCATGGACCACGGAGCGAAGTGTGATCGAAATGCCAATCTGTGTGGCAGCAATGTTCCGCCAACTCTATTTCTCCTTCAAAAGACACTTATGAATTGGAAATTTAATTTAGTGCGAGCGGCGAAAATTGTGCAAGATTATATGCTGGCTTTCTCTCTCTCTCTCTCTCTCTCGCTCTCTCTCTCTCTCTCTCTCTCTCTCTCTCTCTCTCTCTCTCTCTCTCTCTCTCTCTCTCTCTCTCGTCCGCACGCGCGCTCTCTCTCTCTCGCGCACTGGAGACACGTCTGATTAATGATCACCAGGCTGTAACTGGACGAACATGACAGGCAAAATAATGACGGCGTGCGGCCGGCGGTTAATGAAACCGACGAGAATCGTGTGTGAATGAGGCGGGCAGCGCGACGCAGCGCCGCTCGACAATGCCGACATTTCCTGAGCAAACAGTTTAATGCTGCGAATTAGGGAAGCCATCGACGAATTAATATGCACGTAATGAAGTTAAATAATGCATCTAATAAAGCGGCCGTGTACCGGTCTGAATGGAAGTTGAAGTGCGCCCATCTGTGGAGGTGGGATCGCGCCCGGCCCACTTGTGTGGTAGGGGGTGGGGCTTAATACCACCCGCTATGCGTGATGTGTACATGCGTGTGCCTGTTCGTAGGGTAGGTGGTATAGCTGGGTGTTAGTTGGTTGCGTGTTCGTGTATTGGAGTGATATGATGGTTATTAGTGGTGGGCGGGTGTCTTGAGGGGGGGGGGACACGTTCTTATTTCATTAGTATGTTGTTTACACGTAAATCCTCTTGTTTTGTTTTTCTGAACTGTCTTCTAATGTAAAAACACTATAGTGTGTTATGTTATATGTGTATTATGCGTGAGTGAACATAGCGTATTCCTGTGTGAAAAATGTCTCTGCTCTGAGTCATCTCCTAGTAATAGATTAAATTCCTAGTAATAAAATTCTTGTTAAGTTAATGCAATAGTATGTTTAATGAGAGAGATGAACGGACTAGAAACGAGTGGGCGAGGGATCCCGCGAGCGACGTCCCCCGAGGTCGAAAGAGAGTATGAAGAAGAAACAAAGCGAGAGAGGGAAAGAGAGGGGGAGACAGACAGAGAGTGGGGAGGGAGGGGGGCAGAGAAAGAGGGAGAGCGAGAGAGGGAGAGAGAGATACAGAGAGAGAGAGAGAGAGAGAGAGAGAGAGATAGATCGATAGATATAGAGCTAGATAGACAGATAGAGAAATAGAAATCGGAAGTCAGACATAAATTAAGAGAAATATTTGAAAATACATCAATACCCTCTTTAATTTTTCGAAAAATTATTGTCAAAATTGTGCTGCATTTATTTCAGTAATATAGCGTTAGATAATTATTTGAGATTTGAGTATAAACGTTTTATAATGTTCTACGTTACTTCTTAACTTTACGTAGCTTCACATATAGCTTTACGTGTAGCTTCACATATAGCTTTACGTAGCTTCACATATAGCTTTACGTAGCTTCACATATAGCTTTACGTAGCTTCACATATAGCTTTACGTAGCTTCACATATAGCTTTACGTAGCTTCAC